CCCCGCACTGCAGCACTTCACCTCTTCCTCGGGCTGCCTGGAGAGACAGCCAGAGAAAGTACCCAGGCCTGAACACTCTTGGGGCTTCACTGGCTTTATTAGTGCTTATAAAAGCTAGTAAACAGATGGTTTGGTTTAGAGAAAATATGCAGTCAGGGTTATTAAAAAGAAAAAGAGAGAAAGAAGGCAAGAAAGCAGAAGAAGGAGGAGAGGAAAGGGGAAAGCAGGAAGGCTTGTGTAACAGCAAGGACGGTGACAGCTCGTAAATCCCAACACGCTGGGCCTGTGTGCGCTTCCGGTTGGGGTTATGTCGCCCTCCCAAGCCTGTCTGCCCCAGATGAAGTTTAAATAAATCCGATCTCATGTACATAGGAACTTCAAAACGTTCATGGGAAATGGAATTCTAGTATAAGTTTGTTTTGGTTCAAAACGTTTTGATATCCGAAGAGTTTTTCATAATACATATTTTCCGTGAATTCTTTGAAGACCCTTGTAGAAAACACTGTCCACCCTCCTCACCATCTCCCTTCCTTTAGTCACACACACTCGTGGCATTCTGGTAGGATGAGTTTGGAGCCCATGGGGCCAGAGGAGACATTCATGGACTGTCCTTGGGGGAGGCCATCATGCAGTGGATGGCCATGGGGGTTGAGGGGAAGGGAGGAAAGCAACCTCAGAGGTCTGTCTGGAGTAAGAGGTGCTAAGACCATGAATTCCCGGCTGGCCTAGAGAAGGCCATAGTGGGTAGTGGGTTTGGTTATGTACCTGGTCGCGATCTCGGCCAGATCACAGCTGCTATGGGCGCACACGAGTCCTGAGAGGCTTCCCGAGAGGAAAGGCCACCAGCCAGGGCTTGGCATTCAACTATAGACCTGAGATGATTAAGGAGGGGCAGGGGAGAGGCTGCCTCCTCCACACCCTGGAGGTAGCCTCTTCTCATGCACTCAGTGTCTCCCTGAGGAGAGAGACCTGGTACCATGATTGAACTCAAGATGTAGATATAGGCAAGGAGGAAAAAAATGAGTGGGGTGTGGCACCCATATTATATTCCAACCTGCTCTTGAGGGAGCTCGTCCCACATAGGAGAGGCAGAAGCCACATGAGGCCAAAATAAAGTGAAACTCTTTCATTTTAGAGAGATTTTTGCTATAGGGCTTCTGTGCTCGCCAGAGAAACAGAGAGAGACAGAAGGTGAGAAATCACCCTCCAGGGGGATGGCCACATTGCAAATCCTCCTCCATTCTCCTATCAGGATCTTGGGCATGCACACACTCATGCTCGGCTTGAGTTTTAAGCCACTGGATCTAAGACTCAAACCATGGTCAACTATGTGGGAGTCCAGTGATGTAACCATTACGCCATCTGCTGGTCCCCAAAGGGACACTATTGTTTTTCTTTTCCTTTTCTTTTGGAGAGGTTTTTGCTATAGGGCGCGTGTGCTCGCCAGACAGACAGAGACAGAGAGATAGAAAGCGAGACATCACCCCCCATGGTGTTGGTCACACCGCAATCCCTTCTCCTCCATTCTCCTCTCGGGATCTTGGGCACGCACACACACACGCCCAGCGTGAGTTTTAAGCCACCAGGTCCTGGACGCAAACCGCAGTTGACTATGTGGGAAGTCCAGCGACATAACCATTATGCTAACTGCTGGTTCCCCCCAAAGGGACACTATTAAGGCTCTTAGAGAAGGAACTTAGAACAAGGCCTATATGCTTGGGTCTTTGGGGCAAGAGTCCTACAATGGGTGGGTGGAGATTTCTGTCTCT